AAATCCGGGAAAAGGAAAGGCAAAAATAAATAACATACATTTTGTTTGAAATTACATAAAATACTATTTTTCTCGGCTCCTGTTGCCCATTGTAAAGAACGCCGGCCGGGACGTGTCTATTTTACTTCGATGTAGTATCACAAAAAAAATCCTCGCCTCCTGAGACTTGGAAATTCGAACGAATTGTCTAACCTACTTAAGATCTTGATGGATATCTAATTTGTGATATAATTGAAGATTTTCGAGAAGTACTTTAATGTAGAAATGATTTAGTTAAATATAAAAGAAACGTCCATTATATATAAGCTTAGATGTATTAAATTAAAATGTATATTCGACATTGTTTTATATACTCAAATAGAATCAATAAATGTTCATGCTCAGAGTTATAGATGACTTCGATATTTAATAGTTTATATAACAATAAACTCCGTTACATACTCTATTGCATGAGCAAAGTTTCAGATTATGTATTTGAAAATGACATTTGACGTACTCTGAACCCGTTATTTCAATAGGATTATAATTTCGACTTGATGGATTGATTATTACTAGGAAAATAATAAAAAGAGCTTAGATTATTTACTTTGTAGAAAATAAATAATTTTCATTCCAAATTAGTTTTGTTCGTTTCACAACTTATCTAAATATTATCTATTAAATTGTAATATTACATTGTTCATGTAATTTGTAATATTACATTGTAATCATGTTTATTAGAAATTTTACCGAACATTATTTATTTCTGGGGCGCGCAACACACAACTTTCACTCACCGCTCAAATTTGAATAGAAATTATTTTCTGGCCATGTCGGGCTATTATAAAATGTTTGAATTGCATTTTTAACCAAGCTAAAGCTAAAAGCTTACAAATCATAATTACCATTAAAAAAATAACAAAAAGTATATTTATTACATCACCGGTTAAAATGGAATTAAGATATTTTCATTGTCTGTCATAGACGTGTCAAAAAGGTTTCACACTAATCGTAAGTGGATACTGTTGGAATATCACAAAGGAAAAATTCATCATATTATTCACTAATTTAATTTTCTAAAAGGTTGCATGGTGAAGTTTCGGAATAAACGGACGATATATACCTAATTATTTAAATATAATTACAGACCTAGTGTTATTAAACTGCAGTAAATATATTTAAGGGTTTAAACATATCCATGAAATATTTTTATATTTCACTTCTTCTTTCACACAAGCACAATGAAATAGTTTTTTAAACAGTGTCATTGCCTTTATTAGGTGGATTTTAAATACTTTTTTCAAACTTAAATATATTTTTAATGTCTAATGTTTACATTTAGTTAGTAAAGTTCATTTAATTCCCTTGAAAACTTGTGATTTACGTTAAATAATATAAGTTTCCAAAAATTATTATTTTTAATTTTTTCGCCACTCTTCATTAACTTCTACAACTTTCTATATTAGATATTGTTTTTTCTAAAATTCTCCGCTTTCCAACGATATATTATACGTATACATTCATCTTAACTAGTATTTCCCGAGATTCATTTTCGCCATGGGTAATCATTTTTATTTTTTTCTCCTTTATTCAATTATCAAATTCTTTCAAATGTTATATTTAACATTTTTTCGTAAGTTTTAATTATGAGAGATTGTTAATTATTAAAAAAAAACACATTAAAGCTACTTTAGAGGAAGACGTGTATGAACTTTGGGTATTTAAGCAACGTAAAGTGACATCAATGGGCATAAGACCTAAATGATATTGAAGACCACTGAATTGTACAATGATATACCGATTATAATCAAAATCGTTAGAGCCCTTTTTGAGAAAATTGTAAAAATTTGTTTCACTGTTGATATGGAGTGGCACTTCCGGTTAGCCGATTTTTACGAGAAAGTTGCTGTAACATCTGAAGTATATACAAACCTTAAATATGAAATTTCACTTTCGTACGACTTTTTGTTTTTGAGCTAGACTGTTCACACACACACTATTTTGCGAGGCTTGGTTATATGGACTCAGGAAACCTCAAAATATGTATTTACGTTGAAAACTCAGAGTCAAAAATTTTCACGATCCCAATATTGTTCCTTATTATATATTTCATATATAGGTACGCGAAAGTAAAAATCTGATTGTGCGCACACAAAAAAAAAGTCAAAAGTTTTTAAATTTTATTTTTATGTTTTCTTAATTGAATCATTTTATTATAATTGAATTTGATTACAAAAAACATGATATATATATATATAATTTTTAGAAAGACAGAACGTTTTTAGTTTAATAGTTGTTTTTACATTTTAATAATATATATTTTTTTAAATAGGCCTCAAATGCTGGTTCACCTCAGGCCCCAAATAATCTAGGTATCCCAATTTTATAGTGAAAATCCTATAATTACCGACGTGCTCTGAATCGGTTATTCTGATAGGATTGTGATTTGGACTTGATGGATTGATTATTACTTGAAAAATAATGAAAAGAGCTTAGATTATTTACTTTGTAGCAAATAAATAATTTTCATTCCAAATTAGTTTTGTTCGTTTCACAACTTATCTAAATATTATATGGCTGAAGTATCTCCCAAAATTAAATCCTGGATCCCTTAGTGGTCACAAATCATGGCTTGCTGGACATAGTGGTTTTCTCAATTCGGCCTGGGGGACTTAGTGGAGGTCTTAATTGATACGAAGGCCAAAAAGTTTGGAGACCTGTGGTTTGCCCTTAAGATAAATTAAAAAAAAAAAGTTCTAAAGTTAAATAAGAAAGTATGGCACCCCTAAATTCTGGTGCCCAGTATAAGTGCCCTTCTCCCTCAATTCCTACTGTGCTCTCAGTCATGACTCCTCTACAAAAGAAGGGTGACAAGCAATAAAAAATAAATGTTTGGTAAAATGAGGAATAATATAAAACTTTTAAGAAAATAATGCTTAAGGCACCAACCTGATTCATCCTATGTTTACAGTTAACCTATGCTTTTGGAAACTGATGAATCTTTCCACCAAGACAAACTGTTTACCATATCTATAATGAACAGCTTTATAAATGTTTCTGTTGATAACGTTTCAATCATCCAATATATTTTTATCTAACATATGAAGTGATAAAAAAAGAAATGGCCAACCACTTTCCTCCTTTTATCAGTTTGATGTTATTTGTAACTAACACGTCAGACAATAATAAATGTGTGATTAAAACCAAAATAGAAACAGTTATTGGTTTGTTTCTAAAAATTTCAGTTTATCTAATTAACAAACATAAATACCGGAAAAATTTAAACACTATTATTAAAATGTTTCCCTAAGAATTCAACATACTAATGCGGCTCAACTTGGGGGTATTTTCTTTTTACTAGCTTATTTTTTATAAATTATTCAAATACATTTTTTAAATATTTTTTTATAAATTTGGCAAAACTTTCCAACAGATACTTCAAGATACAATTTCATGAGTATTTCCCACATTGAATATGGTGTATTAATAATAAGAACTTTTATTATAAAAGCTATAATAAGAACTTGTATATTATTTTTTTGTTCATTGATAAATATTACAATCTGTCTCAATAGATGTATATTATAAAACTTATATATACATATTCTATATTATATTAATTTTACTATAAATGTCTAGTTGTAAATGTACAGATGTAAAAGTTCCTGCAAAAACTTTATAATAAAAGACAATCACTTTATTGTCATAAAAGGCTGTTCTCCAATTATATTGGCTTGCTACAGAGACAGCCTACTTATAAATCATTACTATGTATAATGCTTAAACCTAATAAACAAATATACAGTCAATAAATAATAAAGAAATAAAAAGGTTCTTACATGAAATAATACAAAATACTTGGAAAAAAGAGAGGAAAACAAAAACTTTTTCAAAATTACATTGCAATGTTCATTAAAATATTTCATCAATAGCTATTAAAATGAATGTTTTCTTTTTTATTAGTACATAAGTAAGTTATATAATTATATATTATGTTAGTGTTCAGGAACATACCAGTCTCATGTTTTGAAATATTTTTTCACAGTTAATAATTAAATATGACATATAGACCCTCATAGAACAGCATTACTCAAATTAAAACAAAATAACATTTTAGTGAAGCACTTTCAGGGACTTATGTAGAGTATAAAAATGTCTATCATTGGCATACAAAAATTTTATGTTCGCAGGTATAAGGTGAGATCTATTTCTCCTACTGAATGGTGAGCGATACAATTTTTTACTTAACTCTTAGACATATTTAACCCAAATACTTACTAACTATTGTTAAAAACCAAATAATCAAAATTTATTAAAATGTTGTTTTTATTAGTGTAAACAAAGTTTATACTTTATAGTTACAATAGCATAATGAAAAAAAAAATTCAGTGATCGGATTAAAATGTAAAAATCCAAGTTTACAATAAAATGATATATATTTTACATTAACAATTAATAACAGTGAACTGTGGGTTTGAAAAAATTGACTTTAATCCTTATAAAGTTAAATTGTACATTAAATTAAAGAACTATTACTTACAATTTCAGAAAAATAATTTCAAAGGAATAATATGTTTCTAAAAAAAACTGTGTCATATTGAATTTGCTATGTGTAATATTTTTTAAGAAAACATACTTCAACAAATACAAGTTAAGAATATTTGTTTATGAAATGCATACTTTACCTGAAGGAAAAGTATAGAGATGAGTTCGAGAGGATTCTCGGTTAAAGGGCTATAGTTCGGAAGCAGGAGAAGCATCCCTTTTGCTACATGTAGTTTTTTGCAGTGGCTTGATGTTGGAAGGGATCAGATTCCAACCATTATGGAAACTATTATTTTAGACTCTTTAGGAATCCTCCATCACCACATATATTGATCTTGGGCTTCATTTGTTTGATTCTGTGGACCGGTCTTGGCATATTTGTTATGTATTCAAGAGATAGAGATCATAAAGATAATAACCAAGCGTCTTTCAAATAAATTCAATGTTGATTTTTTAAAATTAAAACTTGTTAAAAATCAATTAGAACGCTGATTAACTGTATCTTCTGGATTGGGATCTTCAGACAAGTCCTGCAATTCTCCACTCCCAAAAATAATAAATATGGAATTTCCTATAAACCAAATTATAGCTGATACCCAAAACACAGTTCTCCATTGATGTTTATTTTCCTGAAAAGAAATATCCCTGTATTATATTCACAAATATGGCCCTTTCACCTTATCATTAGAATTATTAATAAAAACAGTTTAGGCCTTTTTGCATAATGCAGTTTACATGTGATTAAAAAATATATTCCATTTGTAGTATATCAGCAACGATTCAAATGTTGTATACTTTCCCTGAGCTTCAATAGTTTGTTATTTAAATTTTATTATGATTCAGTCATTAAGATAGGTGATAATTCTTAATTTTATATAATATAGATAAGAAAGAACTAAAGCTATAAACAATCATATTAAATAGCATTTCAGATGGTTTGGAAACTTTGATATAGAGGACAAGAAAAAATAGAACAAGAGTCTTCTGATAGAAGACTTAAAATCAAGAGGCAGATGAGAGAGGAGAAGACAGTAAATCAAGAAAACATTTAACAGAAGAAGACTTGACTGACAGATGGGGAATAGAAATGGGGGAATGGTTGCTTATTAAGAGTTTATGTCTAGGATCAATAAAATCAAGATGATAAATAAATAAATGGATTGATTTCCTAGATCGGTGGCTCAAATTATTTAATGAAATATCTTGAATATTTTGAAACAATTCAAGCTCAAAACACTGGCAAATTATTGTATGAAACGTGTTCAATTTATCCATTAAAGGGTACGTAGTGTTTTTATGTGAGAACAGCTTGACCAATTTTTAAGTTTAATGATTCAAATTACTCAGTAAGATCTTATGAATGTTTTGAAGCCATTGCAACTGAAAATACTGATTTTTTAAAAGCATTCTCAATTTTTTGTTGGTTTCATACCATGCTATGTGCAATTCCATAATTATATAGGATAATTACAAATTGCTGATGTTAGAAAAACTAAAAAAGGTAAAAAGAAATAATTTAATTAAAAAAAAAAAAAACTGATTACAGAAATAACTCTATCCATCATTTGGGAATATACTTGCACATCTAATTAAGCATCTTGGTTGATGATGTAGAATATTTAAAGTTGGTGTAGTAGTCGAGGGCTTTCCAATACACTCACAGTTTTCCCATTATATTACTTAATGCTAAGCAAGCATATTTCACAATTTTAATGATATATTTAAGATCTTTCATAAATGTTTTGCCTCCAAAAATTTGTTATGAAATAATTAAAAAAAAAAAAAAAAGAATAAGTCAAGAATGAAAGTGGAAAGAATGACTATCATGAGAGGACATTACAAGATAGCATTACAGAGGAATAGTGTATTTCTTATAGTAGATTTATGAATTTAAGGAATCCTGATAGAAAAATTAAAGATTATCACACCAGTCAAGAAATCAGCAACGAAAAGATTAAATTCAGGAAATGAACATAAATGTTTTGGATTAGCCTACTTGGATATGCCACGTTCACCGGACCTAAACCCTGTTGAAAACTACTGCCAACACCTGTCTAAAGAAGTTCACAGTTGCAGAGCTTTTCAAAGTGATGAATATTCATAGTGGAAGAAAATTTTAACAGCAGCAGAAAAAATAAAAACTGAAAATCCTGATTTACTTGAAAATATCTGTTTATCAGTAATAAAAGATTACTGATGGTGGTAGACAAAAAATGAGATACCAATAATATAATTTATGAAGTATGCACTTTTATTTGACCATTATTATTTGAAAGAAAAAACAATACATAAATTTATTTAACTAAATACAATTTTTTTTTTCATTTTTTAAAACAGTTATATTGAATTTATTCTTACCCCATATTCAATAATACTCAGTAATAAAATTGCCTAAATCTCAATGTGCACTGTTTTTGTCCAGCAAACTATAAAGCAACAAACAATGTTTTTACTTCCCTTGATTAATCTTTATTTCCCAAATAAATAAAACATTTAATTTTCCTAAACAATAAATATTGTACTCTGTGTTTTGAGATATGTATATATATATATATATATATATATATATATATATATATATATATTGTATATTATATTTAAAAAATTAAACAATATAAATTATTTTTTGAAATGTAACTTACTGCATCATCAACTATAAAACCAACAAACAAAGGACCTAATACATTAGAAATATTAGAAAGGGCATTAGTTATTCCCATAAAAAATCCAGCATATTTCGGTACAATATCAAGATGATTTATATTAAAACCAAAATAAGAAAATCCAAGCAGTGTTGCACCAAGAGTATACATTGTTACTATTGTTGATTCGTGTTTACAATAGCTAAGAATAATTAAACATATTGCAGCACCCCATTGACCTATAAAAAAATAAATACAAAATTAAACACATATTAAACAATTCTTAAAAGATGGAATAAAAAATAAATAAAAAAATGTTTACAACTACGATTTATCAATAATTAATTTTTTTTTTTATAATGCAATACAGCACTAGCGGGTCCACGATTTAATTTTGGGACTTCAGCCGAAAGCTTTTATATATATAGCATTCCCAAGTCAAATTTATAATTTTCCAAACCAAATTGGGATTTTTTCAAATCCAATTTATTACTTTCCAAATCAAATTGGAATTTTTTCAAATCAAATTTAGAACTTTCATAAAACAAATGGATAGGATACTTTTGTTTTCTTATTAAATTCCTTAGACATAGTACCTATTATAGATGATAAGGTTAGGCATTATAGCATTTAAAGCCCGATTTTAGAAATTTTCAAATTAAAGTTTAAATAAATTTTCTACAAGTAAAAACAAAATGTGTAACTTTGACGCATACTGCTATCAATCATAGGATAGAAATGGTGAAAATATTGTTACAGGACGAATAAGGTCTCCTTTTGCGGTTCTAAGTTTCACTACGTCCAATGACCCATCACAATCTGGAAGGACTTTCATGATTCTTCCCCTAGATGACTGTAGTGGGAGCATGTAAATTTCTTTTACAAGACTAAGGCATTGATATTCTTCTGTATGCCCGACTTGCCTCAAAGATACACATTTTGGTTTTTACTAGTAGAACATTCATTTAAACCTTAATTTGAAAATTTCAAAAATTGGACTTTAAATGCTATAACACCTAACCTTATTGTTCAAAATAGGTATTAATTCTAAGGAATTTAATAAGAAAACAAAAATACCTTATTCATTTGTTGTTATAAAAAATCTTAAATTGATTTGGAAAAATCTTAATTTGAAATGGAAAATTCTAAATATGATTTGGAAAAATCTAAATTTGATTTGAAAAAAATCCCAATTTGATTTTGAAAGTTCTAAATTTGATTTGAAAAATTCCAATTTGGTTTGAAAAATAAGGTTGCCAGGCAACAGCAATGCTGTGCACACACATTAGCCCGCTTAGCCATTCTCCCGCTAAAGGAGTATAACATATAATGTTTTAATTTATTTGTTTAAAAAGAAATCTTACATACCAATTGAGTTGCATGATTTTCTAGCATTTGTAACTGATACTCGGCCCCTCTTGATCAAAGTGTCCACCAAATAAGAAAACAATAGAGAGAAAATCATCATGCATGCATATGGTAGAGCAGAAATCAACCCATTCTACAAATAAAAATAATAGAACTATACAACAATAATTAGTATTATATTTATATATTAGTATTCCCAATTGCACTGATAGATTTGATTATTATTCGATGATTATGTTTCTTCCTTTTGCTGTAAACATGTCAATATTGTAGTAGTTTTTTACATGTATACCGAGAAATGTAAAGTTGTTAGAATTAATTTACCTATATCAATTAAACATTTATTTATTGAAAACAGCAAAAAATTAATTTTTTAAAATCTTTAATTTTTATAAAAATAGACTAGATGTTTAGTAATGTTTCAATAAGTTTTGCAAACATATACTAAAAGCTACAAAGCTATTGATTGAAAAGAAAAATAACAATTTTTGCTTTGATATATACAATATTCTGTATATAAATGAGGGCATGGTCTCCATAAGTTGCCATAAAGAGCTATTTTTTTCAAAATTTTGAAATGTCAGTTTACAAACTTATTATATACATGTCAACTGAAATAAAAAATGATTCATTAAACTTAGTCTTCTTGAGATTGGAAACCATTTGATTCATTGAAATTTGAGTCCTAAAGTGCACAAACCAAAAAGTTCTGCAGGGTACAGCTTTGGATAAATTACCACATTAATCTATTAATTATTATTAAAATTTGGCATTTGGTCAAATACCTTTTTTGTTCTCAAATATGAACATTTTTTAAAATCATTTTTAGTTTAAACATAAAATATTAAAATAATTTATATTATTTACTGAAGAGAAGAATAGTTGGGGTGCTCAGTCAAAAAAGGAAGGCAAAAAATAAATTATAATATTTATTTTTTACATTTTTAAATTTTTACATTTTTTTAAAAATATTATAATTTATTTTTTGCCTTCCTTTTTTGACTGAGCACCCCAACTATTCTTCTCTTCATTATCCACGACAGTCAACCAATTACCAATTATATATTATTTACTAGTGAAAATGTAACTCTCTGAGTTGTTTTTTCTTTGTTCATTGAGACAATTTCTTCTTTGCCTTGTTCATAAGTTAATATTTCCAAAGATACATCCCATAAAATTTTGTTTTGTGCACTTGAAGACTCAAATTTCAGTTAATCAAATTGTTTTTACTCTTAAAAAGTCTCTTAAAAGATTTAAATAAATCTATAAGTTTTTCTCATTTCCCCATAATTTGGTTGACAGGGAAATAGCATGTTTTGCTTTTCACATCTTCATGTGACACACTATTAATTAAATAAACTTTTTTTATATAATAGAGAGATACATATTTTTTAGAATTTCACTGATCATTTTATTATTTCTTTTTTTTTTTTATGTACCTAAGTTCAACTGTTTAACAAAGTTCTTTTAGAAGATCAATTTTTAATGAAAAGACTTACATGAGTTGTATGAAGATGCAGGACAGCCTTAAAATAAGTTGGCATTTCTGCTAAAAGAGTCATATTTCCCCAATAGTGGCCAATGGTAGTCAAGATGACTGCAAAGCAAGCTCTATTTGTTAGAATTTTTTTCCATGGTATTCTCTTACTTTTCTGTGAAACATATATATAATTCTGCTATGATAATTTAATAGATCTCCAGAGAGAAAAACATGGAGTGAGCAATGAGGTATTTTTTACATACTTACACATGCAGTAACCTGAGATTGAAATAATTCTTGAATTATAAATTCACTTTCTTTTTCTGTAATATACCAGCATTTGTCTGGAGAGTCTGCTGCAAATATAAACCATGTAAGCACCCAAATCATCCCCAGACCTCCAGAAAAATAGTATATACAAGGCCATCCAAAGTTAGATCCTATCCAGCCCGATGTAGAAAATGATATCAAGGTGCCAAAGTTCATACCTGTTTTTAATTTTTTTCATTAATTTGCGCTTAATAAAATGTTATAATGTTATAGATGGATCAAAATATTCTATTTCTTCTGTTCATTTATCCTAATTTTAGTGTCTTGAGGTTTTATTTTTATATAAATTAGGCCAATTATCACCAAACATTTTATTGATATGCTATTTAATTCGACGTTTTGACCATACTAAGGGTCATTTTCAAGTCTTGATGAGTCCTCTGATATATATTCATCATTAATGTCGCAAAATAATTTGTTCAGTGAACATTAAATTGTCATGGTCTATAGGGGTTTCACCTACGGCATTTCTGGAGGGACTGAAGTCACTGACTGACTGAGTCCCTGCAGAAATGAAGTAGGTGAAACCCCTATAGACCATGACAATTTAATGTTCACTGAACAAATTATTTGCGACATTAATGATGAATATATAACGGAGGACTCATCAAGACTTGAAAATGACCCTTAGTATGGTCGAAACATCGAATTAAATAGCGTATCAATAAAATTTTTGGTGATAATTGGCCTAATTTATATAAAAACAAAATATTCTATTGATTATTAAATCCTAATTTGATAAAAAAGCATTCTTCGTTTATTTCAAATTAAAATATAGCCAAAATAATTGTAACATAAAAGGAGTCAATATAACTACAACGGCAAAAAAATCAATGATAAAAATAAAATAATTTATCCAAACCTCCAATAATTAATGAACCACATCTACTTCTTTCGTTAGGAGGAATCCATTTAGACATTAAACTCATAACATTTGACATCATCATTCCCTAAAAATTATAATTGTAAACAAACAATTTTTTTGTGATTGCTTTATTTTATTTTTTTGTAATTCAGTTCTGATGATAAATAATACAAAGGCTCAGAGTTTTCGCAGGAGTTACAGGTACTCAGAGCAAAATTTTAGAAGGTACCCCTCACACTCTTTCAAATCGGTCAGTTATCTATTTTTAAATGTTTGCGAATTATACCTATTAAATAACCTATTATAATATCATTGTTCATCCACCAATGGATCAGAAAATGGGTACATTTTCTGAAATTGAATTTAGAAATAGTAATTTTTACTTATCTACATGTCCTATATCAAGGTAAGAATAATTATGAAAAGGAATGAATCAGAAACTGGAATGTGGATAGAAAATGGAACTGTTTTATAAAATATTACATATTATTTTATTGTGTAAATTTTTCCAAGTGTTACCACATGAAAATAAATTTCATCTATGTTCACACCATAAATTAAAGCATGCCCCCACGTCTCCACTTTTTTGCTCTATTTCTGTACCTCCCACTCTTCCTCTGCTTGGCTTTTAATTTATGGTTTCAATATATGTAGATTAAAAAATGTCTTATACTATACTATTCTGTTTAATTCAATATTAAAATCTTAATTTGTTTGATTATTGAACAACTAAAATAAAATACAAGCAGTATTTACTGCTCTTAATTTTTAAGTTTATGAATAAAAACTTTCTTTGTTCTGAAAACTTATATTTGATATTTATATTGTAGTCACCAATAATGGGACCCTCTAGAAGCAGCACCCCAAATCTGAGAAGAAATTCTGTCATTAATAATATAAGTTATTTAACATGACTTATATGAAATGTTTTTATAAGAATATTCAATAATATATTTTATTAAAAGAATCTATATATGCTCAAAATATTCAAGGAGCCAAAGTCTTGTATAATAAATATAACATTAGAATTTGTTATTTAATATAATATTATTCCCATTTAATACAGTTTCACTACAAAATTCAATCTCATGAACTAATTTTAAGACATAAAATGATTTCCTGTACTTGCATCACTCCAAGAATCATCCTGCTAAGAAGAAGTGCATACCAGCCTCTGGCGGCAACAGACACTGGTGTCAAAAGAGTGATTCCTGCAGATAAAGAGACACTTAGGAGTAGTAAGAGTTTGTTGCTGTAGATAGTTGCTAAAACTGCTGAGACTATATTCATAAGGAAGTAGCCAATGAAGAATACACTATGAAGCTGTGTCTGTTGAGCCATGGTCCAGTTGAACACCTATCAAATTATTTTAGATAAGTCAGAAGCAGATCATTCATAACAAATAAAAAAAATCCTGTACCACTACAACCCATGAAGGATCTTGGGTTCAGTACTATAAGTAATGGGTGTAATGGGTTCAGTTTCTTGGTCAATGGTTGTTCAAGAAGGTAATTTGACCGAGTTCATGCTCTATTGTCAGGTTTTCCCACTTAATTAATTAATTAAGAGTAACTATTTTATAGAGGCTGAGTGTGCCCCAGGACGGTCTCTTGACCTCAGGGTTGATCCACAGCCGATAAAACAGAATTAATAAATACCTGCCATCAGCCGGATTCCATCCCGGAACCTTGACAGCTTTGAAAGACAATGCCGTAACTACTGAGCTACTGTGTTCCATCATGTACAACAAATAAATTAAATTTAACTTTTTAAATATAAAAATGTTTTGTTCTAAGTTTCATAATATTAAAATTGGTAGCAAAACTGTTAAATATTAGAAATTTTTAAATACAATAGACAACATTTTGCCATAGAAGAAGCCACATTGAAAATTGTTGAACATGAAGTGAAAGATGAGAGGCTTGCTCAATATTAATTCCAAATGTTCAAGAATGGAAACACTATTTTGAAAAATAAGCTCAGGAAAAGCTTTAGTCATAGAAGAGAACACTTTTCCTGGAGTCTGGGGAATAAGCACCAAGTAAAAGATATTCACAAAGTATTATCAGTGTGTTAATGTTTTTAACTGCCAATGTAATATTTTTTATTTTTAGCTTATTTATTTTGTAACTTTTTAATATGTGAAAATTCTTTATCAATTTAAAATAATAATATCTTGTTAAATCTTCAAAATTTTCTAACACATTAATAATTACTAAAATTAATAATTTCGAGGAAATAACTTTTACGTGTTGTTATATCTTGTACATACATATTTGTAATTAATGTATTATAACATTATAGACAAATATTTCGACTTTAAAATGGGCAAAATTTCCTTTAACCTTTGTGGAATCAAATTTGATTACTGTAGATGTGAACACTACTTTAACTGAATAATATCGCTTCTGCAAAAGATAATAATCGTATTTAACTATTTTATATGTTTATTCTCGTTGCGCTAAAGGTGAAATTTTGTATTCTACAATTGCTATAAGTAGTCTGTTAAATAGGAAAATAGCAGAGAGAAATAAAATATGAAATTATACTAATAAATCATAAATCATAAATCAGTTTTTATGCTCTTCCATAAAAAAACTCAATTTTCACATACAACCTTTTGCACTAATGGTAGCAATATATGAAGCAACACTTAAAATTGGATTCTTTAGAAAAATTAAAAATTTTAGTATTGACCTTAAATGAATTTGATCTCATTCTGCACCTGATCTCATTCATAACCAAGAAATCTTACAAATTCTTTTAATATTTACCAATGTGATGGATAATATTAGGTAATGTTTCTAGCATTGGGGAAAAAAGTTCATTTTTAACAAAATACTTGATATTTTTATTATTCTTTATAAAAATGTAATCTATTAATAAATAAGTATAAATAATGGTTTACACTTTATTATTAATGAATTAATGTACACACAAAAAATCAACCATTTCTTAGATAGATAATTAAATATTTCTTAGTTTTGGTATTCCAAACTGAAGGAAGTGAATCTTTAAGAATTAAATAAAGTAAATTTGTCAAAATTGTAATAGTCATTAAATATTGATATTTTAATAAAGATTACTCACTGGATAGTTGGATCCTGAGCCAATATCTGTCATGAAAACCATCGCAACGCTGAGGTTGACCCTCATGAGAAAATTTGTGGTTAAGCACAAAAAGAGCAGTACCACCTGCACATGCCGTACTCCAAAGAATCTTCTACGAAGTAACCATGGAAGTGATATAAATTAGTTATAATAGTAGAAAGAAATAATTTATTCATTCAGGAATGCTGCCCAAATATAATAGTTTTCTACAAAACAAAGTATACTGATTATTCCTATGTCCTTAAGAGACGTAGGAATAATTAAGATTGCCTTCAACATCATCAGACATTTATTATATTATATATTTGAAAGTTTAAAAATTAGATTTTAATGTTAACTCTTTTTCTTATTTATATAAATGCACTGCTAACATCCTTAATCAGGCAATATGCCAGCCAACTAAGTGGTATAACATGAGTTTTAAAAGACACACTATGTAAATTTTTGTTCATTGCTAAGAAAGAGCAAAATTAAAATTAAATATTAGAACTAAATTAATATTTAACTAATCAGTGATGATTTACTAATAAAACATTACCAAAATATAATTTTGGTGAATAAAGACTAATTGTTTTAGTAAATTAGAGATCAATTCTGATTAATCTTGTTTTAAGTTTTCTTTTAATCATTAATTTGACACTAGATCTTTCAACAACCATAAGTAATTGAGGTAATACTCCATATATTGAATTATCATCAATTATAAATGTTTAATAGCTGCTTGTTATGGTTTATCTTATAGAGCGATAATTTTGGTTACAATGATATAAAAATAAGAATAAAATATTTAGGTATATAGTTGGTGAATTTAAGAATGAATTTTATATTAAAAATATGAGTTAACTATTCCTTATTATTTAATTATTTACACTTGAACCTTAATGAATAGTTCATTTCATCAGTGAAAAAATACTGATTTTAGATACTTTTTAACACTTAAGTAGAGAATGAAAAATAATTTTACACGGTTTTGACTATTCATGAAAATGAGTCTTCTTGAACTAATCGATTAACCCCTTTTTTAGCCAAATTGCTGGGATTATTGAGTGTGTTATATTTTTTTAATGATCACTATTAAGTAACAAAAAGGGGCAAAAATTACAATGTTGACAAAGAATGGAATAGGAAATGACCTCACAAATTAGTTTATAAAATCTAATCAGTAAATCTTAAGGAAGCATTTATGAAAAAATAAATAAGAGTATATATGATCAATCCTTTAATAACTAATATCAATCATTAAATAGAGGGTTTTCTGATAGCTTTAAAATGATTATCACATTAAAAGGATCAAAATGTTTGGTTTTCAAAAGTATGAATGTTAAGGTGATAAAAAACTTGGACATAAAAGTAATAGTCCCAATGAGCTCTTATATGAGTAGGCACTCTAAAAGTATGTACATAGTTTTTTTTAGTGTTTGTGATTTTCCATCATATATAAAATGGGATAAAAAAAAGTAATGGTTTACGCTTTTATTCAAAGTGAGGCGCTCTCTGTGATAAATTGAGTTGCTAATCCTTAACTTCCTGTTTAATTCCTCAAAAACATGAACATGTAAGGTATCAAAACTCCCTTATAACTTTCCAGGTAGACATTAGCAAAAAAATGATTTAATTTATGGGGGCTTACAACAGTAATTAATTAAAGAAAAAACAAATACCTGAAATCACTGGACAATTGGGGCGCCGATCTGAAGAAGGGCGGACGCCCACATTTTAGAAATAAAATAATTAATTTTATCCTATTAATAAAGCAATTGAATAATATTAGTCCATGGTACAGAAAAGTTTTTATCAAATTAATTATACCCACCTGAAACTTCGTAAATAGCTTAATCTCATTGTAACCTACAACCACTAGTGTGTCCAGGATTTAATTTGAAGGGGGCTTCAGCCGAAAGATTTTTTTCATGTATATAACGATAATTATTTTGGAAAAAAAGAAAGATACTAACTACCTATATACCTACATGAAATGGTGTTTAAGTGATTCTTGAAGTCCTATTCAATGTAATTACGCGTACAATAATACTTTAATAGATAATTTTTCAATATTTTTTTCATAAAACATAGGTACATTTTATCATTTTGGGAAGGGGCTTCAGCCTGGAAATCCCCTCTCCCATAGATCCTCCTGTGCCTACAACTATTTTATTTACGAAAACTATTGGAATTGGAGCCTTTTCAATCCGCAGGTTGGCAAATTTTGGCTATTGAGCAAAAGATAATTTGAGCACAATGTCGATAAATAAGGTGGTCTTAAAAAATATGGAGCCATTTGACGTGACCTACACCCTCTAATTTGTGAAAATAACGAGATTAGAAAGGCCAAACGGCCCAATATTTTTGTTGGCCACATTTTTAACGATTTTGTGATTTTATATTACGATCCAAGTGGAAAGCAGATGGGAATTTACGAGTTTTTAGTACGTAATTAAAGCTTGCCGATCTCCAGATTGAAAACGCCCCGATTATATTTTTCGTAAATAAAATATTTGTAGATTACGATGAGACACAAGCGGATCCAGCCGAGGTGGGGGGGGGGGAGACGCGGCCCTCTCCCTGGAAATTGGAAAAAAAATAAAAAAAATGTTTAAAAAGCACATTTAAAGAAAAGAGAAATATAGGAAGAATTCATCCTCATAGACAAATTTTCTAATGTAATTTAAAAAAAATTATTATCATGACTATTTTTATTAATCTTACGGTTTGTCATATCACGTGACATCACCACGCTGTGGATCAACTTGCGCTCGGCCTTAGGCGCACGGTGAGATTTTGTGAAACAAAGAATAGAATGTAAGAGCAAAAGCTGGCTCGTAGGGTGAAGTGTTGTAGTTTATGGACCGCTGCTCAGTGGGACGAGTGCTGGAAAACTCCCGACATCGGTTAAATATATATATATTTTAATCGAACTGTTCTATAAAAACAGTGAAAATGTATATTGTGCCAAATGAAAATATTCTCAGAAACTCCGCCAACAACACAAGTTATCAATAAAATCTAGTTTTTGGAGTTCTAAAAAAAAAAAAAATAATTAGACAGATTCGAATAGATGTCGTGAGTTTTCTCTTAATCATCCCACTGTGTGCCGTGAGATGTGAACGCTTGTGTTCCTGTCGCAGTTCGTATCTACTGACTTCAAACTGGTCTCACTGGTAAAATACATGATGGAGGAAATTAATTAAAAAAATAACTATGTTTATTCTTTCAACCTTTTATTCGAGCACAAGAAAATACGTTTTTTTTTGGAACCAGTTTTTATTCAGTACCAGTAGATCTGGACGAATTGCAACCTCCAGCAACTATAGTCTCTTTAAAGATTCAACGTAATTAATAAAACTGGTCACGATAGTAATTTGTATATTTCTCATTAGAAAGTATTGTTCTTTTCTTGAAATAAAATCTGCTGCTGAAAACTTTTTCATGAAGGAAGGTATTAATTATTTGGTAGCCAATTCGATCGGAATCTGATTATAATCGGAATCAGAAATCATTCTTTTTTCTTAGAGAACTCATTTCCAATCTGCAGAGCCATTTATAGTAATCTTTCTCAGATTTTGACAATATCGGTCAAAATTATCGTTCATCGGCCGTGGTTATCGGCCATATTACTCAATCAAATTATTAACTATAGGTACTCGTTTGACGCACAATTTAACTTTCTTTAATTTTTTTAAGAATAGGTTTTTCGCTTCGATGCACTTTTTGGTAGCAATAGACGAAAAAAAATATCAGATAAATCTGATAGGTGAACGATAAATCTGAATTTTTTTGGCGGTTAAAAGTTTTCTTTTTGGCCGTGTTAGTAATTTTGTTATCAACTTGTCTAAACCCATATAAAGGGTGTACCGTAGGTAGAGAGAAATATTTAAAAAAGTGATTGCTGAACTCAAGAGCTTCAAAAAAGTTTATATAAACAATGGTTCGACTTTCAGCAGGAAATTAGGAAATTAAAGTTTTATGTTTTTTTAAGGAAGTCATGTTTTTAGTTGAATAGTAAGTGATAACTAAAAAACTATTTAATCTAAATAATTAACGATTGCTTCACTGTAAACTAGACAAAATTTACTTAAAACAAAAATAGAGTATGCTTTTGTTAATGAAGCTATTTACGAAGTTTCAGGCGGATGTTAATAATTTCATAAAAAGGGGTTTGTACTACTGACAATATAAAACTATTAAAAACATAAATTAAATTTTTTGGAGGAGATGATGTCATTGTCCGGGGGAGCCAAACGTTTAAGGCCGACACCGCCTGAAATGATGTTTAAGTGGTCATTGAAGGAAAAATATGAGAATTTCCTTTAAAGGTAAATTTCTTATATTTTTTCCTGACACGTGCTTATATTTACAAGTTGTTATGCATTATAATTTAAAAAGAAAATACATTGCGATAGTTTCAGTATTTAGTTTAGACTACTAACATAAACAAAAATGTAGCAATGAAAAAAAATTGTATGTGGTCTTTAGGTTAAAAAGTAGCATACATTAAAAAATAACGTTGACCAAAATAAATATCAACTAAAAATAAAACCAAATTTCAAAGAGTTGAAACTTAAACGTAAGTAAACTGTGATGATAACACAGATTGGTTACTTAGCAATGTTTGATATGGGTTGGCTTATATCTTTAAATTATTATTAATAAGTTCTAGTTTAAACTATTATTAATAAGGAAATTACTCAAATTCATAAACGTTATTTTAGAACAACCTTTTTTCCAGTACACAGCAATTATCTTCGTTTTAACTAAACTACATATGGTATTGCATGCAGAAACAATCTGTTCTCCTTGCAGGATTTTATGAAAATGTTAAAATTATTAATAGGTATTATTGCGTGGCCTGTAGTCCTTCCATGAATACCACCAGCCAGGGGTGCCCTCCCCCAAAGGTCCATGGAGCAAGAACCTACCCCCTCTCCACCCAAGATATTTTATTGCTCCCCTTTTCTTAAAAACAGAGTTAGAATAAAAAAAAAATCGTGGATCATGTACAATTACACTTGCTGCAGCCTCTTCCATGTTTTCTCCTTGTCCCTTAGTCCTAAAATTCATTTCTGGAAACCCTGCCACCAGCTCTAACAAATTAAAAACTCCTAATCTAGATATTAATGACAGAATGCATCGCACTTGAAAACCTCACTACTACACCAAAGTATAAAACCATTCAATACTTTTGAATCTTCTAATGGCGATATCAGATAGCTCCTCTATCCAAACAAAATTGTAAAATTTCGTTCATGATAAATTTATTTTATTTAATACAATAATAATATTTACCCGAAATAAGTGATCTGTTGTGGTTGCTCTTGCTCATTCAAATCGCTAGAAGTCATTTTGAATCAAAGTAAAAAATAAAAGAAAGTAAATAAAATAAACCATTTGACAGCTTCCTAAATACTGAATAGTTTCAGTCGTAGCTGTGATACGTTTATCTTAACACCATTTAATTCCCTGGCTCATTGTAATTAATTTTTATAACCATTAAATCTTTTCATCTGCAATTTTTTTTTCAAATAAAAACTTTAAAATCTACACATTTACTACAAACAGATCGCCCAACAATATTAATTAATTCTAGTTACTTAATATAATTATTAATATCTTATCATCTGAATTTCTGAAGGGAACTTCATCTTCAAATTATTCAGAAGAGACAAGAAATTATATTTATACTTGCAGGAAGACGAATATTTTTTACTTACTTATTTATTGCCGTTGTTCTAACGTGGGATACCGCTTCAGGTCATAGCTGAGTTCCACATATCTCTATCTTCCAGTGGCGGATCCAGGAATTTCTCAGGGAGGGAGGGGCGCACCTCTTTACCACGTGCTTCCCCCACCCCTACCTATTCCTCCACCACTACCTTTAACAAAATCAAACTCCATTTTTATTTAGAGTAAATTTTGACTAGTTTTCAGTGAAGCTATCATTAATAACTTAATTTAAATTTTTTTTTTTATCACTTCCTATTCAACAGAAAACATGACACATAAAAAATCACAAAACTTTAATTCCCTACTTCCTGCTAAAATCGAACCATTGTTTATATTATTGAAGATATATTGAAAGATTACTGTAAATGTTTCTGCAGCTTCGCAATGAGTCCTCTAAGAAAAAAAAAACAGAATAATTTCCGATTCCGATCAAATCGTCGACCAAGTAATTAGTACATTCCTTCATGAAAACGTTCCCAACAGCAGCTATTTTAATAAAAGAATAACACATTCTAATGAGAAAACAAATTATTATCGTGACCAGTTTTATGATTCGCATCGATTCTTCAAGGATTATAGTTGCTGAAGGTTGCAATGATTTCAGATCTATTGAAACCGAGTAAGAACTGGGTTCAGAAGAAAACTCATATTTTCTTGTGTTAGAATAAAAGATGGTACGAAAGAATAAATGAAATTTTTTTTAAACAAATTTTCTTCCATCATGTATTTCACCTGCAAGACTCAGTTCGGAGTCAATAGGAACAAACTGCAAAAGGAGCAAAAGCATTCGCATCTCACGGCGGCCCAAAAACTATATCACTCTTTTCTTTAAATAGATGTTTTTCTGAATCTGTTTTTTTCGAGGATGAATTTTGCCTGTATTTCTCTTTTCTTTAAATAGCTATTTTTGGAACTTTTTTTCCAGTCTCCAGGGGGGGAGTGTGCGCCCCCCGCCTGGATCCGCTAGTGCTATCTTCCCAGTCTCCCTCCTGTAGACCTCGGCCATCTCTTCTTGGACTCCTTCCATCTATGTCAGGGCTCAAATCATAGCAGGAGCGTTTCAAAATGGTACATTTGACTTCAACTAGTATTTAAGTCATAAATTACACATTAAATATATCATTATCATTTGTACGAGATTATCATCATGTAAAATTAATTATTATAACAACAATTTGAACTATTATTTGGAAAATGAACCAATTTTTTAATCAAGGATCTCTCCCCTCCCTTTAATGGTGTTCCGCTTTACCTGTATTCACCTGATCTGATCACCCTTCAGAAGGCTCACTAGCCGAACTAAGAATTTTCTCCAATAGTATCCATTTAACATGGATTTATAATAACAAAAAACTGCATTGAAAATTATTAGTTTTCCATCAAAAGTTTCTCTATTCACGAGATGAATTCACCACAAACATTACTAGTAGAAAAGAAAGACTTAATTTTTAGGTTTTATACTTACAAAGATTGGAGGAAAAAATTAAGAAAAATAAACGGATTTAAGAGAACATTTTCTTGAGTTTAATGGAAAAATAATTGACTGACTTACCAACCTTGGCTATATCGTTCACCATAGAACATCGCATGTAACTATCGATAGATACCATTGCCTCTTTCTACCCAAATAAACAAACAAATGGGTAAGGTTATATAACAGTGCTGTTTTCCACTGTGGAGGGATATTTGAGTATTTCATTTACAGCAAAATAATGATCAACCGTTGTATAATATTATTACCTTGCCGAATTTTTCAAATATAATTATTTTTATCCGCAATGGAATCGTCTGTAAGTAAAGTCAATCTTAAATAAAGTCATAAAAATAAAGACAAAATAAATATTATCATTTATTTTTGCCTTCTTATTTGACTGATCACCCCAACTATTCTTCTCCTCCTTAAATAAAGTCGTTAATTTGTTAGAACATTACACTTTATTAATACAGTGCAACTTCATATTATATGAATCAATCAATTAGAGAAAATCATTTACCATTTGTTGGTATGGCATTAGCAAAGAAATAGAGTGAAAGTTAATTCAACTTTAAATGTTTTAGTTTTCCAATACGTTGACAGAAAAACAGAGAGATATTTTAGAAAAATTCTGGTGCCCTTCCTCAATTTTTTATGACCCACTCAAAGCTGGTAGTATTGATGGAACTGATACCGAACCTCATGATAAAGCCGTAATAAGAGCACAGAATTCCCATTATAAACCAAACTGCAGGGTAAAAGGTCAACCAGAATGTACTGTATTCGTATCTAGGCTTGATTATACCACAAAAGGACATGAAATCAAAAGGGTTAAGTACTTAATATAATTTATTTCTTTTCAATTTTTTTATGTTAATGTGACCAAATACTAATCCCCTCTTTTCCTCTGCTATCCTATTCTACAGTTACTTACAATTAAAATCCTCAATCCACTCACAGGAATCAAGATTCCGTATTTCTGATCTCTGTACCTCTCCTCGTTGAACTAAAAAAATTTAATGTTCTTTTCAAGTCTGCTTCACTACTGTGGTATTTCTTCCCCACTAATAATCCCAATGTTCCCATTCAAATCTCTTTATTATTTTCTTTTTTTCTCAAAAAGAATTTTTTTTTTTGTTCTTTTAGATTTTCATTAATGTATTCTTTTGGCCAAATATATTTTCTGTTTTACATTCATATTTATTATATTTAAGGGGTCTGTTCTTAGAATATTTTTTTTCAATCTAACTAAAATAAAAATTGCAGCATTTTTCTCAGTATGGAAAAATCATTAAATGTCGATTGGTTGAAGATATAGTAACTGGTAAATCAAAAGGGTATGCTTTCATTGAATATGAGACTGAAAGAGAAGCTGCGAGAGCTTACAGGAATGGTCATAGAACATTTTTGGATGGAAAAGAGCTGTTTGTGGATATGGAGTGTGAACGGTTACTTCCAGGTTGGATTCCTCGTCGACTAGGTAAGTTTGCTTCTTTTTTTAAAGTTTAATTACAAAAATTTAAATTTGAAATTCTGGAAAGGCTATTTATTATTTTTTATAATATTTTAAAAATAATTGTTATATTATTTCAATATTATTATTGACTTCCAACTGAAACATTCCGATTGGGAATATGTCTATGCAGATGGTACAAAAACTCAATTTGGAGTCAGTGCAGCCATGGTTTCTGACAAAGCCCTTTCGGTTTTTCAGGGTGAAATAAAACTCAATGTATTATAGACATAAAATTTATTTTAATCTACAATATATTGACCATTATTTAACATAACTTTTTCCTATCTTTCCACTAACTGCATAATGCCATGTTCATAGGATGTCTGGAGTTTATTGTTAAAAACAGATCCAAATGGTTTTTGATGTCCTCTTCCTTTTGGAATTTCTTTCCATTCATGGAGTTCTGCAGAGACCGGAATAAGTGGTAGTCACTTGGAGCTAGGGTCTGGTGAATAGGGAGGTTGGGGCAAAAGGTTCCACCCAATATTTATTGTGAGCGACCAATGGAGTGTGGGGTCTAGCGTTGTCTTGGTGGAACACAACATCCTTCCGATTTGCCGGTTCTGGGTGCTTATTTTTAATTGATTGATCCAATTTCGTTAATTGTGAACAGTATAGAGTTAAACCAATTGTTTGTCCTAATGGCAATAGCTCATAAAAATAACACCCTTGAAATTCCACCATATGGAAAGCATTATCTTCTTTGGGGTTTGACATTCTTCTAGGAACCTGACTGCTAGGTTCCAAGATTTTCTATGGATTTTCTATGGAGATTTTCATTATCGTAAAATATCCATTTTTCATCTCCTGTTACCAACCTTTTCAAAAATGGGTCGTTTTGTTGCCGTTTCCATAGTGAATCACAAACAGAAATGCGTGTTGCCAAGTTGACTTCAGTTAGAGAGTGAGGGATCCAAACATTAAGCCTGGAAACATAGCCGAGCTTGTGCAAATGGTTTTCTACGCTTGTGTGCGACACATTTAGGACCATAGCAATCTCTCGCACTGATTGGGTGGGATTTTGATCAACAATGGCCTTAACATTGCTCGTTTCAATTTCATGTGGGCGACCAGACCGTTGAGCATCATTGATGTCAAAATTTCCTGAATGAAATTTGGCAAACCAATTTTGACAGGTGCGTTCGGTTAAGGCATCATCCCCATAAACACTGCAAATTTTTCTATGAGCTTCTGCAGCACGCTTACCTTTTTTAAAATAATACAACAAAATATGCCGATAATGAATGATATTTTCTTCCATATTCACAGTGCAATAGCAAACACAATACTAAGCTAGTTTCAACAAGAGTTAACAGATATAGTTGTTGACATATTACAAACAGGATAAACAATCCACCTTAGGAATTAATTCATCAGATAAGAAGTGTATCATAGTGATATAAAAATAAACAGAAAAACCGAAAGAACTTATTTGCCAACCCAATATCTCTTAACATGCTGAACTTTTTCACCATCTATCACAACTATAACTACCAACAAATATATATCTGTGCAGACTTAGTATCAACCCTTAAGGCTATGAAAAATTTGTTTTCAACTAACCCATTTGTCACTGACACAATGGTACATATAAATACATTTGAGAGTGTTGGATGTAAGATACAATATTTGTGGTTACGTGGTCTAGCTGAGCTAATGAGCTAGCTGATACCATGGCAAAAAAAAATCTGATGTGTCCACTCACATGACTTTCCTACCTATTTCAGAAAAGTTTTTATATCTTGACATATGTCCATCAAGAAACAAAAAAAATTGAATTAGATTTATCTTCCTAAAAATTGATTAAAGAAAAGATTTGAGTATGATTTATTTGATAAACTAAAGCAATGTAAACCGGCTTAAGGTAGACCAGTGTAAACATTTTAATACCCTCTAATATTATTGATCAAAAACTTTTTGCCATAGCCTAATTTAGTCAAACAATAATTTATGTTAAAAGTAGAGGTAATAGTGAAGCTTGTGTGATGCAGGCAACAGATTTTGATTTTTTTTCAGATTCCATGTATGAAAATTGAAAGGACAATTATTAAAACATTATAGGAAAGTTTCATCAAAATCTTTAGAGCCGTTTTCGCGCTACAGTCTATAGAAAAACATGTTTTTAATTTATTGCGCAGCAGCTATTGCACATGGAGCACCCAACTTCTGTCATAGGCATCAGTAATCAAAACCTTACAAAATAAAAAAAGAAGTAACAAAATCGGTTCAGTAGTTCCCGAGAAAATCTTGGCACAGACAGACCAGACCAGACGAGACCAATGGCTAAAAATGTGTTTTTCGGACTTAGGGGGCTCTGAAACGTATAGATCCATCGAAAACCACATATAGGAAATTTGACCCAATTGCAATATTTTCCTTACCTAGTACAGGTAGGAAAGTAAAAAACAATCAAAGAAGGAGTTTCAGTAGGGGATGCTATTACAAAAGAAATAGTCGTTTTAGTAAAGAGAATGGCTCTTGAAAAATGGCAGTGTCTCTCATGTTTTAAGAGATAATAAGTTGATAGTTGTCGAGCTCTCTGTAGTTACTAATCGTGCGGACCTCCAGTTCAACAGAAGGGGAAAGATCATCCTAACAAGACTATGAATCGGACACTCATGGATACACCTCCTTAGTGTCTCTGCTACATGGCCAATTTAACAGTAAGCCATATCTTGACTGAGTGTTATGCCTATGCTGCTCATCGAAATAAATTTGAGTTTAAGAATTATATTGGTGAAATTTTAAAAAACAACATGGAGAATGCAAAAAATGTTTTTATTTATCCAAAAAAAACAACACAACTATTTAACAAAATTAATTTTTTTTTAATTTTCTTTTTGATGATTTTAATATTTAATCTGTACTATATTCAAATTTATTGTTAAATTTTATATTGTGTAAGGGCTCATATGCCCCTAAGTGGTTGAAAATCCTCCATTGTTAGAAATAAATTTAATTTTTTTAGGTGGAGGATTTAATGGCAAAAAGGAATCAGGTCAGATTCGCTTTGGAGGACGTGACAGGCCCTTCAGAAAACCTATCAACTTACTTACCTCAAAAGAAATCCTTAATAGTTTTGATGAAAGAGTTAAGAATTTTAAATAATATTCAAGGATATTACTATAATTAATTATTTTATTTAAATAGTTGGCATTTTTTTAGTGGTCTATCAGTTGTATATTTTTATAGATATTACTATTAATTCTTAGTTATTTGTAAATAAATATAATTTGATTCATTTGTTAATTTATGTTTTTCATGTTTATTCACCAGATACTGCAACATTGCAAAAACGGCTACTATTCGAGCAGAGAATGACCAAATGATTTTATGACATGAAAACACTCGGCCACATGTTGTAAAATTGCTAAAACCTACTTGGAAATGCTTAAATAGGAATTTCTGCTCCATCCGCAGTAGTCAGTGGGTATAGCCCTTTCCAATTGTCACTAATTTCCTTTGATGACACATTGCCTGGCTGAGTAGTGCTTCCATTCTTATGAAGATAACAAAGCTTTCCCCTCTTTTTCCGATACTGTGGCTTGTATAGGAAAACTTTGGCCACTATCGTCTCCCATTTTTATTATCTGGCCAGACCATTGAACCCTCCTGCTTTCAATATTATGAAAAATATATTTTTCCTGCCCTATGCTTTTTTGGGTAGGGCAATATCTGCAAAATATATATGTAATAATTTTGGAAGCCAAAATTTCTAATGAATACCGGAAATGAAGATGTTTTGTTGCTAATAGTTGACAACAATATTCTCCACCTTTTACGCCAGACTCTAAATATATCATAGATATTACAAAAAATTTAAACCCTGATTAAAATCATTAATTGAATATCTCTCGGAAAATATGTGTATTAATATAAAAATAATTTGTTAAAGAATTAAGAAATCAAATTATTTACTTTGTTAGATCTACGGTCCCACAAACATGTTCCTCTCTTCTTGTTATTCTCCACTCTTCTCAATAACTAAATGTTATTGATATATAGGCTATTGGAAAAACGGTTAGAGGAGGCTAAGTCCTGTAACCGCGTTGTAGTGCCGTGAAATAATAATAATAATGCTTGCTTTTCTTATAGTAATATGTTGTAGCCTTGAGATGTCTTAGCTTCTTAGAAAATCTATTATAAAGCTAATAGATTTTTGGACATATTGATGTTTTATTGTCCAGGTTTCGGAACTACATAGAACTATTTATAATAAAAATGAATGGTATATTCTTTTTTTGTTTGAAAGAAAATATTCTTATTCTACAGGACTGAGTTACGGATCCTAATAATTTTTCTTCCTCAAGATATATTTGATGAAATATCTGTATTGAGGGTTCCCATTTCATTTATATACACTCCAATGTGCAAAAATTTATTGTTCCAATCCTAATTTTTTATTATCGAAGATGTTGAGTTGAAAGTCACTTATTCTTTTTTATTCTGTCTTTTCACTAGATTCTATTTAGAATCCTCATCTAAAAATTTTCTTATCATGTATTCCTAGTTTCTTATCATATTCAAGAAATATGAAACGGCCATACAGCCCTAAGGCGTGGTCATCCCACGATACAAAAACTTCAGCTAATGGGAAGAAACTTGGAAAAGGAAGTCAAAAACAAGGATACGGGAGACATGGTGAGTCTGTGGACGAGAGTCAGTCTGGGACAACAGTTGAGTAGAGTAGAGTAGAGGAAGAGCACTGGTAAGAAGGACTCGAGTGTAGCGGATGTAGAGGCTTCCTCAGAAATGATGGTCCAGGGAAAAGAAGACATCAATGAAGCAGACCACCTGCTGGCAGTAATAACAGATAAATCATAATATCCATTTAAATATACCTGTGTAAACTTGTGTTGGCGATCGTAAAAGTAACTGTTTAATTAGTCCTATATAGCATTCTCCGTTAAAGAGTTCTATCTGTTTTAATAATAGTTCAGTTCATAAATAGATTTCTTACTGATTAAATCTTGTTTTTTTTTTATTTTCCTTGCATGTCACCGTTTAGATATAGATGCTAATAATAATAATTAAACATGATTACTTTGGAAAAGAAGTTCAATAGTAATATAAAATTCAATCTAGGATAGGGAATCTGTGGTATCTAACCTTTAAATACGTAATTCATATATTGTAAAGTAGGTCGGATTCTGCTTCTACTTAGTAGATGGAACCCTCCTGGAACCAATAAAAATATAAATATAAATATTCAATACAGAAAATAGAGATAAATGTGGTTTCTGGAACTCCCTACCCGCTGTAGAAACGCAATGATCAAGGAACATAGCATAAAATAAACACTGACTATAAAATTCAGTAAATATTAAAAGTCCATTTATAATAAAAATAATGTATTTTACAATTTACATATATGGTACATTATAAAAAAATATTTTAGTTCTCATAAAATAAATTATCTAAAGGATAGAGGGAAAACATAATTAACAGTTTTAATACTATGTTTCAAACTTTGTTTTAATTTAGTTGAGAAGCTCCTTGCACTACAGGCACAATACTGTAGTTTACTTATTATTTATTTTAGATTCTAACATACTTAAGTATAAATATTATAGATATTATCTAAAAAGAAATACTACAGACAATTATTTAAAAACTAATGAAATAATTGATCTTAAATTTTAAGAATATAAAAATGGCAGACTAGCTCACAAATAATTTTCTTAATTTACAATTTCAACAAACAATAAAATGATTGTATTGTAATGTCTACTAATGTTGAATTGTTCGTATTGCATTAATAAAATCTAATTTAATTCAAATCTAATAGAGAGTGGCTCCAAAAAACTTATACTCTTAAGGCTTAGCATGCTTGAATCCATTGTGATAATTGTATTATTTTTAATCTATCATAGATTATATTTACCTAATGCATACATTGACTCATTTTTATTTATTCTATGGAACCTTTTTATACTTAATACTAAAGATATAATGAAAATAATGACAGAAATAAAACACACTAATAAAGTATACATAAACATAAAAAAAGCATTTGCTCACATCATTATGCAGTTTATTTTATTTCTGTATTTTTTTTACATCTTACCATAGGCCCAACCATTTTCATCAATGGGATGGATGTTAATAGGAATAATCTAAGTGATAATACATAGTTAATTTACTTATAAAATGATTTTTACTAGTCATCAAAACATAGGGGATTATTAATTTATCCTTCATTCTTTAAAATCATTAAAACCTTTTCTTTACATAAAATTCATTAATTAGTGTGTCTTTGGCAGAAAAAACTGATGAATTACCCGGATAGGTCATAATAAATTAACTATATTATTACTAAGAAATTGTTTTTGCTTTATTAGAGTCCTTTTTGAGTTTTTTTCCAAACATAGACTGCAATCTATTGTGTAAAATTTTGGCACTCATCCTTATAGATAACACGTTGGCTGCTAATTCCTAAACAGAAAAAGGGCAAATAAAATAGTTCTTGTACAAAATCTCTGACATATTAATATATATATATATATATATATATATATATATATATATATATATATATTTTATTTATATATATTTTTTGTAAAATATAATATATTTGGTTGCCAATTTTTCTATCGATATTGAAAGAAAATAAAGTGATCAAAGTAATCACAGAAATAAAATTACAATGTTAATGCAACTATATCTAATATATTTTTTATTTAAAATTCTAATAAATTGTGGGAAGTTAAGGGAGACGTTTGATTCATTATTTTAACTTTGTGGTAAATAATTCTCAGCGAACCTGAATAAATCTCAACTAGCTTCCCTGTGCAAATACTCCGCAAAAACTTAAATAAATAAATAACGAATACTCAGCACAAACTTTACATTTATATCTGATTTTAATCCATGAAGGGCTCAGCTCAACTTTCATTCAATAATGTTTGATACGCAAAGGTTTAATATATATATTTAGTAAGCTATTAATTTATAAATATAAATTACACTCTGTCATGGTTTTATCATTGCGTTTACTTAAACTTATAATTTAAATATTAGTTTTTCCAGCACTAGATTATCATTAATTTACAAAAGCTTCTAAAAATTAAACATTAAATAAAAAAAAATAGCTGATGATGGCAAAAGACAAATAATCAAAGGGTTCGAATTCTCAGGAAGGAATAGTTAGACCTATTAGGCTGCGTGTTATTTTATCATTAAAAAAAATTGAAACATCATGTGAATTTTCAAAATGATAAACTTCAATATTAAAGATAAAAAAGTTAAAAATATAATTGAAGCACATTGACAAACATTCTAAAAAGTGTTTAATGGAATAAATAATTATAGAAATAAAAATAAAATTAATAATTTATTCATTAAAAAATGTTTTAAAATTAAATTAAATAATTACTAATTGAAACATTGTATACTGTAACCAGGAGGAAAAAAAGGCTAATTCCCAATCCCATGAGCAATAGAATCTTTATGGTACAATAAATACTAAATGTTCAGAACGCTATCATTAAATTGCCTTCGCCTTTCTGATTTAGATGATTTTTTTAAACATTTTTTTTGGAATTCAGTAAGATTTCAAATACTCATATGTGTAATGAACCCAAAATTGTGTTATTGATATATTATGAATTCATTCCTAACCTCTCGATTCTTTGAGATGGCTCCATCACATAGTTTGAAACCTCTCGTTTTTATTTAAGTTCTAGTATAAAATTAGGAATCAAAATTACAATTCGTATATTCTACATGATAGTCCCTTTCTTTTGATACCTCATTCATCAATTCCTGCCGGAGTGCCGGAAAAGTGATATATATATATATATATATTCAGAAATAATATATAAGATGATGTATAGAAATGAGTCTTGTCATCATCAAAGTCAATAGTATCAATCAATGTCAATCAATAGTAATTGATTGACAGAAGCTTATTATACATTATTTGTACACCCTAAAGAAAAAAAATTCAATAAAACTATACCATGATGACATGTGGCCAGTATCCAGTAGTCATGAGATAATCTGTATTTAATGTATATATTGCACTCTTTGCATATGTTTCTGCATCTGGGATCATAAACTTTGCTTTCCTTTTTAGGTTCTGTATAACCTCTTCTCCTTCTTGTAATAGTTTTGTTTCAATAAAGTATGGAATGAGGTTTTGTACTCGAATATTGTATGGAGCAACTTCAACTTCGATACTTACAGAAAACATATTCATAAATGACTGTAAAATTAAAGCAAATTATTGATTTAGTGATTAAAGTGGTACATTCTATTACATAGTTGAATTTAAGTTTTGACTAAAAATAATTTTATCTAGAAAGAAGTATTATAATTGAACAAGACTATTTTATAATGATTTTTGTAAAATATTTGCAATGGATAAGTTGTCTTTCAATTTGTGTACTTTACTTCATTTTTACATTAAAAAAAAATGAAGCCATTAAAGATATGGAGGAAATAGACTCAGTTTCGAAACAGACTGTACAGACAATTAGTTTTGTTGAGTAACAACCATAATTTGTGTGTATATTGATAAAACTTTCTTTAGAGTTTCTACTTATCAGAACTATCCAGTTTTTAATATTTAGTAAATAGAAAGGATGGTTGAATCAAATGATCAAATGTGATGCCCACAGCCTTAGCTACTCGTACCGGTACTACTACTGGGGTGGAGATTAGTTCAGCAAGTTGAATCTTTCATTATTCACAAGTGAATTGCCATTAAGGTGATTTTTAGAAAAAAATTTATGATTAACTGAATTTGTTTATTAGCTTAACATGAATAAAAAATATGAATTTACTAATAAATATACCTTTGTAGCAGCGTAAAGACTCATCGTAGGAAATGTTGTTATTGATGAGATAGAGCTCATATTTACAATCAGGCCTTTTCGTTTTTGTTTCATTTTCGGTAAAACTATTCTTGTCATCATAGCCAGAGCACCACAGTTAATGTCAATTTCTTTCCATAAAGATTCTTTTTCAATTTCATTATATTCCTGACTTACAAATTGTAGTGTTCCTACATTGTTTACTATAAAAAAAAAACAATGAATTATGTTATTGAAAAAACAGTTGTGCTAGACCATCATATTCTAGATGAAATCAGGATCACCAAACTTACAATTAGATAAATGCAGAATTGAATATTTATCCTTAAGATTTTTCATTTTCCATTACCTATATATAAAATATATAGTAAGGAAGAGTGCTGTGGGTGAAAAATAGTCAGGACACAGTCATTTCAAGCTATTTATTGTTGCCGACGTTTCTATCCAAGCATGATCGAACATGCCCATCATCAGGGCAAGTTACCACCACATAAGATATTCAAGTACTTCTACAATTGAGTACTTAAACACCCACAGTGCTGGTAACATGCCCTAATGATGGTCCACATGCTTGAGTTGGAACTTCGGCAACAATAAAAATATTAAAATGACTGTGTTTCGACTATTTATCACCCATGATTTATAGAGCAGTTGACTAACTTCCTTCAATAATTCAGAAAGTATTGTAATTTTAGACATTTTTGAATCTGAGTTTTCAACATAAATACAAGTTAACATTAAAATGAGGTCTTCTGAGTCCAAATAACTAAGTCTCGCATAATGGTAAAGGGCGAATTTTCAAAATTTCTCCCTCTAAAGTACCTCTGATTTTGTTTATTTGAAATAATTAACCATTGCACATGATAACCTGGAATAAAATGTATGCTAGTGTTGGTATTATATAATATTTATTGCATAGATTATAGCAGAATAAAATTAATTTTTTTATAAATATTAGTGATAGAATAAAAATACCCACAATGAAATATAAATAAATATACTGGCCTTTTTTATCAGTGGCACTTTTATCAGACTAAAAATATATTGTGGTTTATATACAGCTGTAAAAGGAAGTAGTGACAAAAGACAAATATATTATACATTGCCTAATAACGATTGATAAGTATGCTATGTTTGTAGCAATCCAATTTAATTGAGCAGCACCCTTTTATGAAAATAAAGTGATTCTCTATAGATGACTGTGAGAAACATGTAATTAATAGTTTTAAGTAATATGCTGTACCATCTTCAATTTTTTACTTTAACTTCTCTTTGTCTGAAAATAACCATTTTCGCTAAAAGGGAATGCTAATTGAAAGTTGTGTGATATGTCCGCCAGTTCTTTCTGAATCTAAATACTGATTCAACATAGTAAGTAAAATTTATATGTTTTGTATTAATTAACAAAAAATGGGAAAAGGTATTTTAAATCAGTACAATATTTCATTCAAATTATTTTGACAGAAAACAAATTTAGGTGAATAAAAAAAAAAAAAAAAAATTACGTCTCCAATTAAATAAACTATTGGGTTTCAGGTATATGGATTTTTCCCGAACCAGAAGAGAGAGGGAAAGATTAATACTAGCGTTAAAAGCCCCTCTCCCTTCCCCAGCACCGGGATTCAAATTCATAATTATTTTATCATGTTATGTTCAGTTTATCAGGTTGTTTTGCTGGGCAACAAGCGTTGGCACAGGTGTTAGCCCACTTGGCCACACTGTCTCCTTCTAACCAGTGGTTGATAATTTTTATGTATTTTAGATCAAAGAAAAAAATGGCAAAGATACAAACTTCAAAAGATACTCCCCTATTATAAATGAAATTCCCTTTCAAATTTGCATACCATTTATCATTTACAATCAAATCGTTTTACAATTTTTTTATTTATAATAAGTATGACTATATCCTTTCTTATAATAGTATCTCCTTGTATCAATATTCTGTCATAATGAAATTTCATTCAAAACATACCCAATATTCCTATATCCTTGTCATCTAGATTTTTTTCTATATGTCCGTAACAGTCCCTAGTTGAAAAATCAGCCTTAATCCAGAATGTTTTTACTCCATGTGATTTCTCTGAAACATTTAAATTAAAATTAGATTCTTCTAACCATTAATTTTTTATTATTTTATTGTGAAAAGTCATTTTGGCTTCAATTTATGTTAATAAAATAAAAATTAGTATTGCTTATTAAGAGATGTTTATTACTCAAGGTAGGATAATGATATACTTTACCTATTTCCAAAGCTGTGTTGGTTAATTTTGTTTCATTTCTACTAATGAGAATTATATCCATGCCTCGCTTAGCTAATTCTATTGCATAGGCCTTTCCAATACCGTCGGTAGCTCCAGTAACAACTATTAAACAAGTAATTAAATTGTTATGAACAGAAAGCACATATAATTGGATTAAAAGTCTAATAAATAAAGTTAATGATAGTATAATCAGGTCAATAAATATGAGGTAATTAAGTTAATTAAATTAATAATAGTATTAAGTTATTTTAACATGAGTTCATTCCGTTGAAGCATTAGATGGTTCTGGAAGCTCTATAGTTTGTAGCATTGATTGAGTTTAGAAAAAGTTGGTATACCTCCAATAATAAGGCAAAAATTAATGTAGTCTTACCAAAATTAGGAAAACTTATAATTAAAAGATGGATATCATCTATAAAAGATAGATAAATTCACAAAGTTAAAACTAAATTTAGAATACTAACATAGAAATAAAATTAATTTTCACATGGAAATCAAGCTTCTAATAAGCATTTAGACTAACTGACAACAGCATATGCAAGTTCATCAAATAAAGTGTTACTATTTTAAAGACTGCTATTCAAAATTTAGCGTACAAAGAAATATGCAAATGTCTTCAAAGGAAAGAATTGAAAAATACTTATCATAATTTGTTAAATATTTTGGAAAGGGTAGATTACTCAGAAGTAGATAATTAAACAATATAACAGATTATAATTTTAACTCAGTTCTTCTATGTGAATCATATTTTTATATTTGCATTGTTATTGTTTACATTTAATTTATGAATTATAATTTGATGAAGACATTTTAAATTTCTTTTAAAATTTAATTTATCACAAAAACATAATAATAGTGTTGAATAATTGAGGGAAAATGACAAAGGTAAATAAAAAAAATGAAATAAAATAATTGAATGAACATTTCATTTCCCTTAGTGCAATATGCTTAATCCGCACATATACCAGGTAAAAGACAAAGGCATACATAAACATAAGAAATAAAGTCTAGGGTGTGAAAACAATTAATGGTAATCCTTTGCACAGGGGTCAGAAACAATATGCCAACAACCCTTGAGGGAAGGATGACAACAGATCTACCTGATTTTCATTAAATTTTATTTTATAAATATTTCTTCATGAAAAGGTTATTTGGTTTAGTTCATTAAATATAAAAATATTATTGCAACTATATGGGAATTATCTATTTCTATCTATTGAAAAATCGACGTCTGAAGAGTGAGATGTATTTAGCGCCCATTTTTAATATTTTAGAGTCCCGTGGGTCAGGAGAAGTTGTTTTAAATAATTGTTATTGTTAAAGTGATTGTTGTTATGCCTTATCTTTAAGGACCTTCGCTATCTTCATATATTTTAATAAAACTATGGGATTATACAGCGGCTAGTTAGGAACTAACCATGAAAATTGCCAAAAATAAAAGAAGTTTCCTAATCCTTGTAATACTGACTCCATCAACAAACCAAGCATAATAAAAAATCTTGACTGGTCAAAAACATGTACAAATTTTATTTTTTTAATCAAATGTTATCGTTAAAATGTTTTTTCAGTTTACCCCTTTATACACTGTGCCTCTTCTAGAGGCACCGGTTTCGTTGGTTGCACTGGCGTTATTTATGTCCACTGTTCCCCATTGTCTTCCCTCCCTTGCTATGTCTCTGGTTTTGGGATTTTAGTAAACTTGGATCATTAACTGATAATTTACTTGACCCTAGTAAGCAATCAATTTGCAAAAAATGAAGTTGATTCATTTAATGTTTTGACTATCTTTCTATGAATTAAACGATTTAAAAAAATCTATTAAATGAGTAAATAATTAAGTTTCTAAATCTGAGCAATGATAAGGAAAGGAACCTTTATCTTGGTAAACGCTGAAATTTTAAATATCTTTCAATAAAAAATAGTTTAAAGCAGCTGTACCTTCGATTTCTTATAAATACAATATTATTTATTTTATAATCTTTATATTTTGTTTTATCTATACATATTTTTTAAGAAGAAATCACTATTAAAAAATCAACTAATATTCATTATTCATTATTAATATTTCGGCGCAACAACCCGTTAACCGGGTCCAGAACTCCGCCATGCAATTTTTGCCAATCTTCACGATTCTGTTCTGCCGACATCCAGTTGCGCACTCACCGATGTTCTGAGTGTCAGCTGCAGCTTTGCCTACCCACCTATGCGTTGGTCTTACTCTGCTTCTCGTTCCATAGAGAGGATTCATCAAATGCCTTCTGGTAAACTCTTCTTCACCCATGTGCGTTCACCCCAATCGGCCCAGTTTGACCACCTCAACGGAATTAGGCTCTTTAAATAATCCATAAATCTCTAGGTTTGTTTTCTCCTCCAGATACGATCCACCAACACTTCTCTGAATAAACTTTGAAGGATTTTCCGCTCGAATACTAGGAGAATATGTTACGTTGGTTCATAATGCATACATACTACCAGACCTCTGATAAATAATGGAATTACCCAATGATGACTAGCCCCCTAGAGTGAAGAAGCGAAGGTGTAGGCAAGGGTTGTTTGGTGGCTCACCGTGCCAACGCCTCTTCTTCGTTAGGCCTGGTAGACCGATGAGGTGGGCTAGAGGCTGACACCTCCCTACGAGCTCCGAGGCAAGCCCCTCCACCTGACTCAGGGGCAGTGGGCTAATTATCCACTCCCCTTAAATATTCATCATTACGAAACCTCTACACGCAGAAATAGCCGGATTGTCTTTATGGAATAAAACCAGGAAACGTTTGAAAGACTTTAGAATCGCTTACTGGAACATTTTATCTTTATGATGTTAAAATAGTTCTAGAAGACTTGAACGCCCATGTAGGCACGGAAAGAAAACACCTACCAACAAGCGGAACCTTCAGTCTTCATCAAAACAAAAATGCCAATGGCCAAATAGTGATTGACTTTGCGAACACTCATGGCCTGGTGGTCGGAAGTACCATGTTCCTAGACAAAAATATACACAATGGAGATCACCTAATGGAGCGTTTACCAGCCAGATCGACCACTTCTTAATCAGCTCTCGTCACAGGTCCAATTTAATTGGAGTAAGAACATATGGAGGAGCAAACGTGGATTCGATTACCACGAAACGAAACTCAGATATTGGAGAAGATGTGAAGAAATTTAATGTTTATAAACTGACTGAAATTCTGACTAGTATTTCCGGAGATTCACTTTCGACCTGGATAAGCGTTTTTATTATTATTTTCTCCTTTATATTCAATTATCAAATTCTTTCGAAAGTTATATTTAGCATTTTTAGGGTAACTCTTAACAATGGAAGATAGTTAATTATTTAAACGAAACCATATTAAAGGTACTTTAGAGGAAGACGCATATGAACATTGAGCATTTAAGCCCTGTAAAGTGACATTAACGGGGATAAGACCTAAATGATATTAAAGATCACTTAATTATACAATGATATACCGAGTTTAATAAAAATCGTTAGAGCCGTTTTTGAGAAAATTGTAAAAATGTGTTTCACTGTTGACATAAAGTGGCACTTCCGGTAAATCGATTTTAAAGTTGCTGTCACATCTAAGGCATATACCTGTCTTAAATACGTAATATGAGTTTCCTACGAGTTTTCGTTTTTGAGCTAGACTGCTAACATACACACACACACACAGACACACGGACCATTTTTCGGGACTTGGTTATTTGGACTTAGGGTGCCCAAAAACGTGTATTTCCGTTGAAAACTCCGATTAAAAAATTTTCTCGATCGCAATACTTACCCTTACTATATATTACATATATACGTGAGTGAAAGTAAAAAGGAGGATACATGGGTAAAAATTGCGGAAGAGCTAAATATTACAAGAAATGTATTACTTGCTATTATTATTATAATTATTGAACATTATAATAATTATATGCTATGTTCTTTTTTATCTTGAATGCATCATTTAAAAGAAATATTTTTCATTTTATATCATAAAAATCTTTCACACTTCTCATTTATATACATATAACTATTGTGACGTTTTGTACTTATGGTCTATATTCAAACATTCCTCAAAACATACAATACCTATCTAATATTGCGTATATAGTTCCGCATAACTACTGCTTTTTAAAAATAGTATTATCAATATATCGATTATACAGTTATTAATTGAATCTTAATATTTTAAAAAAAGGAATATTACAAAAAAAATCTTTTTTAGTTTTATGTTTTTATAAACATAAATCCGTTGATGCACTAGCGGATCCAGAATTTAATTTTGGGGGGAGCTTCAGCCCGAAACCTTTTTTTTTCATAAAAATTACGATAATTACTTTGGAAAAACAGAAAGAAACTAACTACCTATATGAAATGGTGTTTAAGTGAATCCTTAAGTGATTTTAAATGTAATTACACGAACAATAATACTTTAAGAGGTATTTTAAAAAAAAAATTTCCCATAAAACATGGTTATATTTTTCCATTTTGGGGGGGGGGCTTCAGCCCGAATCCCGTAGATCCGCCCGTGCGTTGATGGAATATCTATTTATAAACATTTTTCATTATATATTTATTATTTACTTACTTATTCTCACATTATCAACTAGAGCATAAACCACTTTTCCATATTATTTCAACTATGATTACATTAATCTTTTTATTAAAATAAGATCCTGATAATTGTATGTTTGAAAAAATAGCTAAATTTATTCAGTTAAAAATATATAGTTATTAATGCAGTTTCAAAAAATATCTGACCTCGTGTCAGGTGGAGAGATGTGGCTGAGAGTATGGCGGGCCGAGGGCTGAGGAGGAGGAAGCGATGGACAGGGGGAGAAGTATAGGAACCAACTGTGGGAGGAGTTTGGCTTAGGGAAACTTCAGCGTATGAAGAAAAACCCTTAAATAAAAAAATATCTTCTTTAAGAAAATTATACTTACATTTTTTTGCTAATTTTACTTTTGCCCACTCTAGAGACATAGAATGATAAAAAAAGATCTGTATATATTGCTTATTTAAAAAGACTAAAGAACAATTAATATATGATAATAAAAGAAATTTGTTACTACGAAATAAATATTAAATTTCGTTTGAAATAAATTTGAAGTTTTACAT